CACTGTTTTCAAGCTCGTCTATATCTGTTGCACTTTGCCTTTTATTATTTTCCGCAAAATAACTATATTTTTACATAATACGTTAATTTTGGAGCTCTATTCTCAACCGTATAAAGCCTTTTGCGCCTCCTTTTAAGAACATTAACAAGTAAATGATTGGATTTTTGTCACGCTAAAGAGTAGGTTTTCCTTAAAAAATCTCGCACAAACAAGATATACAAACTAGAGCAAATTCCCATAGCAGCACTCTGTACTTCCTATGCTGAAAATTCCTTATTAAATTGTAATGTCAGACAGGCAAATTGCCTCTGCCACACGAGTGTTCGTGGTAGATTGGCTTCATTAACTTTTTTCCGAACTTACACTCGCACCTCGGCTTATATTTACACCATCAAAAGCTGTATTCGGATCTATTTCATCAGCGTTTGTAACTTGCACATAATAAGTTGTAGCACTTTGACCATCTAATATCACGTTTCCCTTTATTTCTTCTATTATTGCATTCAACGCTTGTTCTGCAGATTCGTTACATGCCGCTATACTCCCCACGCTGCTTCATAATTGCATCTTCATTTTCTCAACTATCTTTCATAGCTCCTTATCAAAATCTTGTCTTACAATCAACTTGAAAAATAACCTTGTTACTTTAAGCATTTGCTCAGTTCGCTTAGCTTCTTTCCTCGCCTGCCCTTTCTGGAAAGCTTTTGTTCAGCTTGAGCTGCTTGTTGTTAATGCGCTTTTTTCTCTCTATTTCTGTTTTTCTATCTCTTCAAATTTATTTTTGACCATTCACTTACATCTGTATGATAACCACGCCCGGTTAGTATTTTTTCCCATGATGGACTCCATCCACACCTAGAATTTTACTGTACGCATAGCATACTTTAATCACCTCGTCAAAATATTGACTTTAGCAAATCATTATATTCACTTAAAATTATGAAAATCTACCATGCAATTTCTTAAGGTACGGATTTTTAGATTGCTTTGCCTCTTTCTCTATCTCAGATAGAGTCCACCGATACCTTATCATTTCTTGTTTTTATTGCTGAATAACCCACTTTTATATATTCATATAACTTTATATATGCCTCTTCAAAATTTTTGTCTTATCGAAAATAAGGAATCTAATATTTATGCAGATTTTCCTACCGACAATCCTAATACTGCATATTTAACCATTAGAGTAACTTTCTCTAGCGCCTCTAAAAACCTACTTTTTTTTGTATTGGCATCATTTATACAAGCCTTCAATAAGGCTATAAATCATTTACACTTTCACTATCTATGTTATCAAGTAACCCCTTATATTTCCTCAACTCCCTATAAGCATCCATCTTCAGATCGAACTTCAGACACTAATTGCAGCAGATCCATACCCTCTTCTCCTTCCATCGGAGAATCAAATTCTAAATCATGAACTTTTCTTGTAATTATGAAAATAGACTTGCTTACTAAAGACGCATATTTCCAGCCTAGTTATTGCAATTTTTCTTGCGCTGTTATTGAATTACCTATTTTAGAATCTCTAACATAGCTTGCTAGTAGTGATAGACCATTAGCAATTAATACACTTTTATGTCTATGTTTAGAGTTTACTACTGGTAGCATATTCCATGCTCTCTTTTATGCACTGATGTTGATTACTCACCTCTGTTTGTCTTTGATCTTCTTTTTTTTTGAGTACCTCAACCCTTTCCTCTTTACCATTATCCATATCTTTAAGCTCTCTTATGTAATGTATGATCCCTTACTTTCAATATAATATATGATAAATTATCAATTAACTTATCATAGATCTATGTCATAGATATATTATTCTATATAACGTTTACAACTTCTTTACTAATACTACTTAACATTGATCTTAACTTCTCATCATCATTTCTCAACTTAGACATCTTTCTCGTAATGACTCATTATCTCCGCATAATTTACTTGTTGATCGATCACCTACAATTTTATTGATATTGCCTTTATAATTTTCCCATGCATTTCATTGCACATTTCATTATAGTGATCTGATACATCCAACTTCAATACTGATTGCAAAGCAATTTTGTTCTTAAGTAACTCTGTAGCATCTTTTAAACATATATTTTACCCGCGTAATCGCTGCCATCATGAAGCATGGGAAGAATCTTTTTTGAATCTACATACCTCCTACATTAAATACTTGATACTCACTACCTACAATCTCATGCTAAACCCCCTTATATCTTCCAGTATTTCATTTTCTATATTTTTAGCTCTCTATTTGCTTTTATAGTATAATCGTTACCTAATGCTACTTCTTGAATAGGTAATTCACAATACATAATTGTACTAAAGTTTTTATTTAAACTTGTTATTGTCGCTAATTATGTTCACAGGTAGATGATACTTTAAAGTATGAATACTCGTACAATCTTAGGAGAAAGTACAGCATGAGCAAACCAATTTTCTTGCAATTAAAAGCGCCTAATGCCTAGTAGTATTTATAAAAACTTTGTATCACTTTAACTAAATAATTTATCAAAAAAAACTTAAGATATAATCTCATTAACTAAAATCTAGCATATTCTAATTATCATGAGTTCACAAGTTAATAATTTTACATAATTTTTCAGTATTTAGCTTACTTGTTAAAAATTGTATATTCTGTGGATAACCATAAAACTTTTCAAACTACTTACCTCATAAAAGTGACACCTTAAATCCGCTAATTTTAGATGTTTTGGCTGTGTTACACTTAGAATATCCTCTTTTATTTCTTGGTGATAGAAGACTTAAATGCAAGACTCTACGTAGATATTTCATTTTTGCTCTTTTTACACAGCGCCGTGATATTGGCATATTCTCCTCTATCTAGCTGACGTTGCCGTAAATGGGCATTTACTAATGCTTTTAATAAAATGTTATCCCCTTTTATATGTGACTAATTTTCTGCTCCAACACCACGTACCTACCCGCTTCTTTTCTTAACTTACACGGGATAAAAGTGACATTTCTCCCGTTACTTCTTCACATTCCATATCCTAGCCCCCCCCTACAAAACAAGGAAAAAGTGGCAAAACCCCTTGTATTTTAGACAATTAAGGGTTTAAAAAATAGAAGAATTTGAAAAAATCGTGCAAAAAAGTGAGGCTGTAGTGGAAAAATGGAGGCAAAAAAAGAAAGGGCACGGAAGAAAATCGCATGGTAAAACACTAGAAGGCGAAATATTCATGCATAATACATCCATCTTTGGGATTTTTATTTAACTTGCACAACTCAAATATCTGCTTACTACTGAAGAAAATGGAGTCATTATTAGCCAAAAAAAATTACTATACAAAAATATAGAAAAAAAACCGCTAACATCTAACATCAGAACAAAAGGAACATAATCGGAAGTTGATATCGTTAATGGTGAGGGTGAAAAATAAGATACGAGAGATCAAGATTTTTAACATTATATCAAATGTCTATCGCAACTTTGATAAGGAGCATAACATAAGATTCAACATTATTACTCGCATTGTAAACCCAAAGCACTTCTTCTAACAGCTTTTTGGTTGCGGGACACTATCTACTTAAGTAATTCTCTTCAAGTTGTTTCTTGGGGGGTTAAAGATATATGCACTTGTTGAGGCCCTGGAAATCCGCTAAAATTTACAACTACTCTTAATCAAAAAAAATGATATTACACAGGCTAAAACATTGACTGAAAATGTTCAAACTCTACTTTAGTAGCCGATAAGGGTTGCTATAGCAATGCACTCCTCTAAAAAGAAATCGAAAAGCGCGGAGATACTATTACGAATACGTTTATAAAGAGAGGCATTTTATCGAGTATTTTTTTTGTAAGATAAAACATTTTAGGCGGATTTTTTCTCGACTTGACAAGACTGCAGTAGTTTTCATGAAGTTTTTAACTTCGTTGGTGCTCCGTATGGATTGCTTGGATTTTGGTTTGTAGAGGTTGGGGATAGGATCTGGAATGCTGCGCGATTACGTTTGTACAACCACCCCTTTGGTGAGATAAGAAGCTACTGTATTATGGCCATTANAACATTATTACTCGCATTGTAAACCCAAAGCACTTCTTCTAACAGCTTTTTGGTTGCGGGACACTATCTACTTAAGTAATTCTCTTCAAGTTGTTTCTTGGGGTAGTAATAACTGCGAATACAAAATTTGTTCATAGCGAAGTCTCCTTAACTTTACAGTAAGGTTATTGAAATGGGGCTACAGCTATGCATTAGAATTTATTTAGAGGGGAAGTGAAAATTATAAATGAAACGTTAAATAATATTTACTATAATTAAAATTTGTAGATAAAATGACAGTACGTATAGGAATTAATGGGCTGGGTAGAATAGGTCGAAGTGTGTTGCGCGCTATTTTTGAAGTAGAAAGGTACAGTAAGCAAATAGAAGTTGTAGCAGTAAATGGTTCATTAGATGCAAGTTTACATGCGCACCTAATTAAGTATGATTCTATACATGGTAAATTTAATGGTAATGTTGATTTTAGCGATTCCGAAAGTTGGTTATCGATAAATCATAAAAAATTTCCTTTGTACAGAGAGTAAAGTTACTTTGACAGCATTAATCTGCTTACCAGCTCTGCTTATGTGAAGCTTTTGCAAAACTGATGCCTGCAATTTTAAAACGAAACCAATCTTCATCAAACAAGATGATTCTTGATAATCATTGACACTGCCGATATAAAAGAATCAGGATGTGCTATATGATCTCATTAACATTTTTCTCAAAATCTCAAACATTTAAAGTATTTAAAGGATTATATCCTAATAATGTATTCCATATACTTTATTTTACACCTAGTCATTTTAGTAATGGGTCTTTCACTGCATCAGAAAATGCAAAAGTGTGCGCATATAATATACTATCTTATATTGTTACTAATATTGCAGTTAACAGATTGTTGCCAGCTCTTTATTCACGTATAAAAGAAGGCATATGCAAAAAGATAGCATTGATACTGAGATGAGAGAAATCGTTATTGGAAATCATCGAAATAAAATAAGAGTATAATATAGTTATGCAAGATGAGGGCAATCCTCTTGCAAAACATGTATCTAATGAATTGTATCAGCGCCTTCTATAC